CAAAACAAATGATTAAACTCAATTATCTCAAAATAAAATTTATGTAAAAAAGGGCTGTTTTAATAGATAACACCCCAACTATTAAATTATTTTTTTGCCACTTATATTTGTGCACAAAATTATCTTTGGCAGAATCCACAAATTCAGTAAATTGACGGCCATCTATATAAATATTTAAGTCTAAAATTGTTTTTTCGAACGGTTCAATCTGAAAACTTTCTATATTTGTATTAAGTCAACTGGCCCTGAAATCATGTAATCTAATTCGTGCATGGACTTCTTTTATTTCTGGACGTTTATTTGGATCTTCATTCCAACATCTCATATAAAGTTCAACATATTTTGATGGTGTATTTTCTTCAGGTTTTTCTCTATGTCCCAAATAAATCTGAATTGCAATTGCCTCCGACGATGTAAAGGATTGAAAAGGTGGTCTACCGCTCGGAATTTCCTATAAAATTACACCCAAACTATATATATCAGATTTTTTATCATATGGATAACGATGGTTCTTGAAAAGTTGTGGCTCGACATATGCAAGCATTCCCATAATATTTTTGCTTGAAATTATTGGTTCATCATTTTCATCATTTATTTTACATGATAAACCAAAATCAGCAATCAACATTATATCATCATGAACCAAACTATTTTTTGAATGCTATAAAGATACAGAAATGGTAAATTGTATAAAGTTATAGTGTTATAAGTTATGAAATATACTTACTAAGTCTCTATGACCAATATTTTTACAGAATTCCTTGAGCAATTTGTTTCGCCATTCGGAGTTATCACTCCATTGCAGTCTCTTAGAATTACGCTTTAAATATTCTCGTAAGTTCCCACCATTAGCATATTGTAAAACTATCATAAATTCATTGGAAGGACCTAATTTTTAGAATGTTTATAATTATTAGTCAATTAATTACTAAATGAAAAACACAAACTTTTAGTAACACCATAAAACAAATTAATATTTGGATGATAACCTATTAATCGTAAAGTTTGTATCTGTACCAGCACAAAACATATAATTATACGGCTTTTTAATAAAAATATTTTATTCTTGATCTGATTACAGAATAAATTTATTATCCGGCTGCAGGAACACGGAAAAATTTGGATTTTATTTATATAAATTTCGAATTTTATAAATCAAATAAGGTCCAAATTTTTACGGGTCCCTGTATTGCAGATATACGGCATAAACTACCATCTTTGCCAAATAAATTACTTGACAAATGGTCGCAATAAATTGCCGGTTATTACTGCCGGTATTGCCTGCTAATAACTTTAACATATCATTATCATGAATTGCTACCTCTTTAATAAGAATCTTATAGGAATATTGATCAAATATTAAACCTTTAACTGCTTTAACTGCTACATTGATTTTAAAATTTTTCCATTCAGCTTTCGAAATATAAAAATATCCAATATCACTTATTTTCTCAAAATTTCCAAATTCATTATAATAAATATTATTGATGTTTTTCTTTCTAATTAGTTCTTCCACTACGACTTCCGAACCCATTTTTAGGTCTGAGTAATCTGTAATAAATTATAAGAACATAAAACCTTTAAAGAACTATACTACATAATTTTCTTAAGATAACAGCATTTGTTCCTTAGTGAAAAATGGTTCTAGACTAATTTTAAAGTAGTTAAGCTTAAAAAAATTTTTGGAAAATTGTCAATTTGTCCCTCTAGACCATGTATTTATAAAAAAAAAATACAGAAGAGACCGTTTATGTTACACACATATTAAAACTGGTGAGGGATTATAGCTGAATCCAACATAAATAATTTAATTTGTGATTGATCACAGGCGAGAGGGATTCACTTTGGATCGGGCACTGTATCTGCTCTTTAAATATTATTAATGAGACGGTGACTGATCAAAAAAATCAGATGCGATACTAGAATTCGACATTTAGGTGATTGATGTAATTGATGTAATTGTGTATTAATACTACGCCACAAACAGCGCAGATCATACTGTACTATAATTAACTTGTGCCGGTGATACCCAAAAAAAGGAATTTAATTTTGTAAATAAACAAAGTTCGTAAAAACAAACATTTAGGGTTAGGACGTTAACGTTAGAAGCTATAGCTATAGGCTGTCGCCCATTAGACGTAAAATTTCGTTCCCGACATTTTTAATCAATGAATCAAGGTCGATTTAAACTCTAGTTTGTGAGTATTTTCGCTTTTTTCTTCTTTCGCACGTGTTCGAAATTCATGTTAGAGGCTGATCCGGAACGATGAAAATTGAATTTGATCTAATTCACTGGCTGTTTCCTTTTTAGGAGTTTGTAACCGTCATAAATAAGTAAGCCCTTACTCTGCATGTCGTACCTTGTGTTACTAATGAGACATAAAGTAAAGTTCTGTTAAAAATCAATTTTCAGTGAAAATTTTTTTTGTCAATTCGTCCCTTTTCTCAGCACAAAATCTAATCAGTATTTTGAATCACCATAAACAAATTATTTCGACAGTGTGATTTGAAAAATCGATGTCAGAAAGAAATGTTAAATATTGTGACATTAATGAATTTACTGATTTAGAAAAGATCCATGAAGGAAAGTTTGGATATGTAAGTAAGGCTAAATTAAAGAGTGGAATCACTGTTGCACTCAAATTCTCGAACAATATTAAAAATTTTGACAACATTCTGACGTTTGAGATGATGCAAAAAGTTTGCATTCATCCGAACATTATTAAATATTATGCCATAACAATAAATCCATTTAGTACAGTGATGGAATTTGCTGAGGAAGGAGATTTGCGAAATTATTTGAAAAATAATTTTTTAAATTTGCAACAGATTGATAAATTACGTATCGCTAAAGAAATAATATCTGGTGTTGCGTTTTTGCACAAAAATCTTATTATTCACACTGACCTTGTAAGTATATGCTGTATTATTTCTGTATTTATTTATAGCTCTTTCAATCAATAAGATCACAATTCCTGAAATTTCCCAGATTTCCAAATCGGGCTTTTCAATTTTGCAGGAATTTTTGCGTCATGTAAAAATCACGGGAGATAGACGATTTTTCGATTCTAAGGGAATTACACAGATTTCAAATATAATTGTGGTTTGCAAAGATGTGGCTCCACGATTTTCGTGATAACGGTAGTGGGGAATCTCGGAGATTGAAATTTTCTATCAATCATATATTCAATCAGTATATTTGGAAATTTGTATAATTCCTTTAGAATCGAAAAATCGTCTAATTTCCCGCGATTTTACATTACACGATGATCTGCAGAGGTGACACCTTTTTGCAAATCGCAAAAATATTACTGTACTGATTAAATATACGATTGATATCGGGAAATCATTCGATTTCCCCTAATACAATGGTGTATGCTTGCTTACACCTTTTTGAAATCAGCTATAAATTTTTGTTAATTCTATATTTGCTTACCAAAATAACATTTAAATTTATAGCACACAAAAAACATTTTAGTTCATAACGGAAAAATGTTGATTGCCGATTTTGATCTCTATATCTAAAAATTCCGACTTAATTAAACGTAATGTGTATGGTAACCCAGCATTTATCGACCCAGAAGCTCTAAAGAATTTTTCTGGCGAATTTACATCTACCGAAAAATCAGACATTTATAGCTTAAGTGTCGTCCTCTGGGAAATTTCCAGTGGTCATGAGCCATTTGAAAACATGACATCTGCGGGAATAATTCTTTACATACTAGAAGGTGGAAGAGAGAAGCCTCTTAAAAACATGCCACAAGAATATATAGAGCTTTATAAAAGTGGCTGGAGTGAAAATCCAACAGATCGACCAGGAGCAGAAGACATTCTTGAAGTTTTAGAACAATGTACTTCAAAAAAAATTATGAACGAATAGCTAAATTGCGTACGTACTATAAAATCCCATTATAATATTTGAAATTTTTGAATACGAATTGATTATGTACGACCAATAATTTAACATAAATGTGATCTATTATTGTAGAGACGAATTGGTGTTACCATTTTAGTCTTAAGAACTTAAATTTGGGCAAAATCGTTTACCATCAAGAAGTAAATTTAACAATACAGTACCTTTTTATATCTATTTTTATTTCCTTTACTAGTTTTTTAAAATGGCAAAATCTTTTATCATCGAACGAAAAACTCATCAATATTTTTTTGTCTATTTTTTTCACTACGGATTTTTTTAAACTTTAAAGTCATGGCAAAATCTTTATTATCGAACAGCAAATTTATCAACCCTTTTTTATGCATCTAATAGTTTTTTAAGAAATTTCTATTATGAGAATTCACCCTTCTTGTTTGTCAAATCTATGCTACGTAGTAAATTTTTTTAATTTTATGCTAATTATTTAAAAAACAAATTAATTATTTAATATTAAAATAATGAATATATTTAATTAATACCGGGGATATTAATATCCGGTGTGTTATATTTCAAAAAACTGACTAAGAAACAGGATCAGGTCACAGGTCAAAATCAAAAATATTATCATCGTATCATCTAATAATCGCCTATGGTGATAGTAGGCCGATAGGCTGTTGGCTATGAACCGATTGATTAGGTATAAAAAAAGCTGATAGGCTGAAGATTTTAGTAAAATATGTTACATATCAGTTTAATGCCAGATAAAAATATCCATTTATCATAAAGAAGATTATTTAATCTTTAAAAAGATATAAAGAAGATATTAATAAGATATTCGAAAGATGATTAAATGATTTGATTAATCATAGGCTGATATTATAATGGCTATTTAATAAAATTTTGCAAATTGTTAAATAATATTTAGCAGATAATTTGATAATATTTAGTTGATATTTAAAAAATATTTGGTTGATACTTAAAAAATATATAGTTAGTTTATATAGTTAGTAGACAATTGATCTAATATCATCTAGATGATAACAGGTTAATAAGTATTGATTCTAAAAAAAAATAGTTT